GCTGAGGGGTGGAGGGGCTGAGGGGTGGAGGGGCTGAGGGGTGGAGGGACTGAGGGGTGGAGGGGCTGAGGAGTGGCTGCTAAGGGGTACAGAGTAGTCTTGGGGAGTGATGAGAATTTCTACAACTGATGTGGTGATGGTTGTACAACTCTGTGAATATACTAAAAATGAATGAATTATGCACGTTACATGAATGAATAGTACGGTATATGACTTAATCTCAAAAAAAGCTATTAGAGGGGCGCCTGGGTGGCTCAGTCGTTAAGCGTCTGCCTTCGGCTCAGGTCATGATTCCAGGGTCCTGGGATCGAGCCACGCATCGGGCTCCCTGCTAGGCGGGAAGCCTGCTTCTCCCTCTCCCACTCCCCTTGCTTGTGTTCCCTCTCTCGCTGCCTCTCTCTCTGTCAAATAAATAAGTAAAATCTTAAAAAAGAAAAAAAAAGCTACTAAAAAACATATGAAACACTTAGAGACAAATCTGACAAAAGCTGTATGTTGAAAACTACAAAAGACTGTAGAAATAAATGAAAAAAATACCAAAAGAAGAGATATACTACATGACCTAGCTGCTCTACTTTTAGGCATTTATCCAAGAAAATTGAAAACATATATCCACACAAAGACATAACCACAAATGTTCACAGCAGCACCGTTCACAGGAGCCCCAAACTGCAAACAACCCAAATGTCCACCTGCAGGTGAATAGACAAAGTGTGGTGTATGCATACAACAGAATACTGATCAGTGATAGAAGGGAATGAACTCTGGACACACACAGCATCACAGATGAATCTCAAAACAATTAGGCTGCGTGAAAAAAGCCAGAGAAGTAAGAATACATATTACATGGTTCCATTTATACAAAATTTTAGAAAATGCAAACTCATCTGCAGTGAGAGAAAGCAGATTGTTGGCTGTCTGGGGATGCGGCAGGGAGGGGCTCCCAAGGTTTGAGGAAACTTTGGGGTTTGTTATGAGCTGAGTCACGTCCCCTCCAAATTCTTGTTGAAGCCCAAAGCCCCAGAACCTCAGAATGTGACCTTATTTGAAGACAGAGTCTTTATGGAGGTGATTAAATTAAAATGCGGCCCTATAGATGGGCCCTACTCCAATCTGACTGGTGTGCATATAAAAAGATGAGATCGGGACACTAGGGATGCAGGTGACAGAGGAAAGACCCTGTGAGGACACCAGAAATCATGGCCATCTACAAGCCAAGGACAGAGGACTCAGAAGAAACAACCCTGCTGGCACCTTCACCTCAGACTTCCAGCCTCCAGAGCTGCCCCAGCAAGCGAATACGGGGGTGATGGATACGTTCGCCAGCTTGACTGGGGTACTTGGTTTCGCAGGTGTGTGCATATGTCAAACCATAGCAAGTCGTCCACTTTAAACATGTCTAGTTTGTTTTACATCAATTATAGCTCAAGAATGCTGTAGAAGAGCGCCATCATCCACAGGGAGAATGTCGCTGTTACAAAAGCAAAGACAGACCTGAGAACAATTGCAAGTTAGCGGAGATGTGTCTCTGGACACCGGAGTAGACAAAACATCTAGGGCTTTCTTCTGCTCCAAGGGACATCGCTGGGACAACTGGCTGTCTGTACCCTCTGTTTCTTGCGGTGGCCCAGTGGAATGAGGACTCGTGTCCCTCTGTGGGCCCCCATATCCACTGGGAGACTTCCCAGGTTCCTGCCCCCCACCACAGGCTGGCACCGTCCTCTGCCCCTCGGGGAAGAGCAGTGGACAGCAAATTTCCTTTATGCCGACTGTGATTCTAAAAACCCAGGATCTGACAGCAGAGAGCTGGAATTTCATGGTCAGGGTGCCTGCTCAACTCCCTCTTGTTGGGGCCCCATTTCTCCCCTGGCTTCCCCCCCTCCCTCATCCACATCTGCCTCCTTATCATTGAGACGGGCAAGCAGACTGCTAGGCGCTCCTCCAGCACAGTGTAGAGCTCCCAGGGAAATGCTGGGTCTGTTCCCCACCCAGATTAGTGGCAACCTGCAACACTAGGTCTCTGGATGCCTCTGGGGCCAGCCCTTTCATTCCACACATCTTTACTGAGCACCCTAGGGTGCCCCAGGCCGTTCTGGGTGTCAGGCTGAGGAGAGACAGTAAGACACAGACAACGGAACAAACCTTGATCTCTGCGGGACATGCCAGGGCTAAGAATGAGGACAGTGGAGCTGGGGACAGGGACCAGATGGTGGGGCTGTCATTCTAAGTAGGACCATCTCAGCAGCAAAGACTAAAGGAAGGTGAGTGAACCCTGCAGCTAATCAGGCAGGCAAACAGAAGACCAGGCTGGGCAGACAGCCAGGGCAAGAAGCAAGGCCAGAAAGACCTTCAGGAAGCATCTGCAAAACACCGAGGCGGCGAGGGGCTGGAGCGGCACAAGAGGGCAAGGTGTGGGTGGTGGGAGACATGTCAGATGGGTGGGGGCAGATCCCATGTGGCCCAGCGCTGGAGCCCAGGAGAGCAGGCTAAGACTGGGGTACCATCCTGGCTACTGGGTGCTGCACAGACAACTGGGGAGTGGCAGGGAGTAGGGCACACTGACAAGGGTCCTGGGGTGACTCTGGACGTAGGAACCCAAAGGCCGGCAGGCCAGCTACAGAGATAATGCCCTCTGCATAGCCACACAGGGCGCTTCTCCACCCAGCTTCGAGAACAATGCAGCCCTCTCGGGGCGGGGGGGGAGGGTGCTGAAAACTTGGGAGGCCCTACCACACTGGCAGGACGCAGGGCACAGGACACATACCTTCCTTGGCACAGGCCAGGCCACCAGATCCCCCGCCAATCACCAGGAGATCATAGTCCTGCCGCCCTGCTGGGGAAAGGGGTGAGAGGTGAGTGGAAGGGCCAGGACAAGTCTGGGGCCCGGATCCCGCAAGGTGCCACACGATTTCCAAAGGGCAAGCAGCTCTGCCCAGTTAAATGTGGTATGGGATCTATGTTATTGGAGCAAAGCCCCCAGCCCGTGATGGTCCGGGTGACAGCGCATCACACATCAGGGCAGAAGGCAACCACAGTATCCATCATCACGCAAACCCCGAAAGTAAGCAACGGCAGGTGAGGGTGGCCCAGGGTGCATAATCACCTTGACAGCAACAATCAGGTCAAGAAGAAGGTAATTTAACTGGCAGGACTGCTCTGAACTTAAACTTCACTGAACATTCTAAGCCAAGACACGGGATTAAAACACTTCTCGAGTCTGTCTTTCGGTTACAACAGTCACCTTTTGTTCTTTTTTTTTTTTTTTTTTTAAGATTTTATTTATTTATTTGAGAGAGAGAGAATGAGAGAGAGCACAT